GCTGTTCCGATGCTAGGACTACAACTGAGACTTGGCTACCCCCTGGTGGCTGCTGGCCTTACTGCAGGCAAAGTGCCTGAGCTGGATGGCAAGTCAGAGCCGTGGAGGTCATGGTCACGGTGTTGAAGAAAGCAGGACCAGGACCAGACCAGGGAGAGGAGGAAGAAATGAAAGCTACACCACAGGGGAAGCGATAGGCTGAGTTTCCATCTCCTGTTTTCCCAGTGAACCTCAGACACAGAGCCTCCTTGTCAGGACAGAGCACTGCAGGCGAAGGGGTGAAGGCGCGGCAAAGAGAACCCAGAGGATTAACTGAGGGCGTGGAGCAGTGCTGCCAGGACAGCCAACTGCGAGGGTGAAAAGATCCACATCTGTGCCAGCCCCCGCCATGGCGCCTGCTGAGGACACGAAATGGCGTCCAAGGACTGGGGAACTGGATTTTAAGCTTACTTAAAAATAAGTAATTTGAATGTAAATAGTCAGAGGTGGCAAGTGGTCACCACATTGAGCAGGATTGGAGAAATAAAAAAGGTTTACTCTTCAAATCAATCATCAAGGTTTAACAAGCAGCTATGCAGTACAACACTAAACAACACTAAACAAGTGGGCACTGTTTGGTTTTGTTTTCTAAGAAAGAAAAAAGGAAAAGAATCCAGAGCCCCTCACCTCCAGAAGCTGGCAACCCAACGGGCAGTATTTGATTCTAGGGGGGAAACCTCACACACTCTGGGGAAGAAGATCCCTGATTCCCAGAATGCCCGCTTGACTTAGAGCCTCGGTCTTCAACACATGACTTTAATAACGGGATCGGGCCCTGACCAGTTTGGCTCAATGGATAGAGCGTCGGCCTGCAGCCTGAAAGGTCCCAGGTTTGATTCCGGCCAAGGGCAGGTACCTTGGTTGCGGGCAAATCGGCAGTCCCTACTGACTGCAGGAAGCAGCTGATTGATGTTTCTCTCTCTATCTATCCATCTCTGTAAAAAAATCAATAAAATATATTTAAAAATAAATAAAAATAACGGGATTGGTACCAATGCAACTGCTCTGGAGAGGGGATTCCCGGGGGCAGGAACGAAGCCTTATTTTTCAAGTTCTGAGACAAGTGGAAAGCAAGGTCGGTTTACCAGGCCTGGGACTTGGGCAGGTGGAAGAGACCTCAGATGTGGTTCAAGTTTCAAGGGGGACAAGGGGGCCGGAAACCTCATGGTCTTGATCAATGGGTTTCACTGTGGTTGTTTGTGAGAGAATGTGTTTTGCTTAATAAATGAATTTCCAGAGCATTATTTTTAAAAAGGGAGAGAGATTTCCAAGTCTGGTCTCCACGAGACCTGGGGCTCCATTTCCCTGGGGGTGTAATTACAGGCTAGGAAACAGCTGATGTCCAGGCAAGGAGGCGGTCAGAGACGGGACACTTAGAAGGTGCTGGAGAAGGGTGTCCCCAGGGAGGACACAGAAAAGGTACAACACTTCCAGGGACAGGGGTTCCTCCGAGGGAAAACTTGGGGTGGGATGAGGGATCATAGGCCTGCGGAGAAATTTCCCGTGTGTCATTTTTTTGTTTGTTTTAGCATTTCCAGTTCTAATGTAACATTAACAATAATAACAACTTATATTTGTACAATGATATGGTTTTTAAAAAACTTCTTCACACTTCACGGTGATGCAAACAAAAACCCTGCAAACATTCATTTTTTTTTTTTTTTTTTTTTAGTGGAAGGGTTCAGGGCTCAAAGTTATAAGGGAAAAAAAAATTTAACTGGCAGTATAGCCCAAAGCCCTTTATTTTTCCAGGTAAGCAGGGCAGTTTCCTCGGAGGGAGCCATCCAAGGATGCAAAAAAGAGCAGAAGTTAAGGGAGGGGTGACCCTCACCCAGTCACTGGTCCCAGCCTCCTTTTAATCCCTTCAAACGAAGAGTCGTTCGCTTACCTCCCACTCTCTCCTGCATCCGTGTGGCTAAACACAATCGGTATTGAGAGTGAGAACTGATTTGTGAGTTGAGAGTGCTTTCTGGCAAGAGACAGGCAGGGTCGAGGAGATGTACAATGGAAGCATGAGCAGGGTGACCACCAACCCCCGTGTGCTTGGGACAGGCCGAGTTAAACCTGTTGTCCAGCATCATTCTCACAGCACCCCTTCCACTCTCAGATGTGTCCTGGTTTGGACATTAAAGTACGTGGTCATCCTAGCCATGGGTGACTTAGGCAGGGTGTCTTTTTAAAAAATACATTTGTATTGATTTCAGAGAGGAAGGCAGAGGGAGAGAGAGATACAAACATCAATGATGAAAGAGATTCATTGATCGGCTGCCTTCTGCACGCCCCCCACTGGGGTTTGAGCCCAGGCATGTGCCCTGACTGAGAATCAACCTGACCTCCTGGTTCACAGGTCCATGCTCAACCACTGATTGCTCTGACTCTTCCCCTGGGGGAACCAACAGGGTTGTTCAGCTTGGCTTTCTCATTATCAAGGTTAATGCTCCTAAGGAGCAAAGTGCTAAAGAGACTCACGTTTTAACCTGAGTCACCTGGGCATTTATGGTTCTGGATGGGGCCTCAGGCAGTGACCCACACAGAGCTGGCTGTTTAAAAACTCATCTGGGGAAGTTGTTAAAAATAGAGATGTATGAGCCAACCGCCTGAGATTCAGATTCAACACATCTGAGAATCTATTAAAAAATGAAAAATAAAGCTTCCCAGGTGGTATGGACAGGAAAGCTAAATTCGACCCCTTAATGAGTCTTTGTCCTTTGACCCCTGTCTGGAGTGATGCATTGTTGCTATGGAAACCATTGATGTGCCCCTCAGCCAAATTGGAGATTACTTCTTTTTTTAGCAAAAATATAAAAAGTAAACTGTTTCAAAAATAGAGGGCATTATTTTTGGAAGAGAAGATTTGTTTCTTCTCTCAAGACATTTCTATTTAGAGACAAAAAGCAAAGCCTCCCAAAGGCAGAAAACTTTCTCCTCTGAAGCCCAATTCCGCAGGAGGCAGGCATCCCTCACAACGTTAGTCCATCTGGAAAGAACTAGGAGAAGTTATTTCCTGAGACAAGTTTCTGACTGTCTGGAGCAGGGGTCCTCAAACTTTTTAAACAGGGGGCCAGTTCACTGTCCTTCAGACCGTTGGAGGGCTGGACTATAGTTTAAAAAAAAACTATGAACACATTCCTATGCACACTGCACATATCTTATTTTGAAGTAAAAAAAACAAAACGGGAACAAATACAATATTTGTATTTGCATGTGGCCCGCGGGCCGTAGTTTGAGGACCCCTGGTCTGGAGCGTCCTGCAGGTTCGTTAGCTGCAGGTGCCTAGCAGGAGGCCTGGGCTCAGGGCTTCCCCAGGAGGTCAGATGGCCGGAGGTGACTGGCCAAGATGGTACCGAGACACTGGCAGCTCCAGTTGAGGCAGACCTGGGAAAGGATGGCCCTACAAATTCACCATCAGAAGAGAATTTACACACAGTGGCTGAGTGGACAGGTGGCCCGTACTGAGCCACCCTGATAATGTACCACGTTTATGCTCTGAGCTGGGTAAGGAGCAGGCACCCATCTTCCTTCAGGCTTCAGAAGCAGAGGAGGTGGGGCAGGGAGAAGAGCTGAAGGAAGGCTTCTGTAGCTTCATGTTGTAAAGTTGGCCTGATGAATTCAGAATTTAGTAATTCTGAGTTCTCTTTTCTTTCAGCTCAAAAATAAAAGCACAAAACGGTTGCATCGCAAACAGAAAGATCTTGGAATTCTTTATAAATCCTGATACATCTCCTTGGGACACCAAAGCGGAATGTTCCCTCCAAAGATACTCCCTGGGCGCCATCACCCGGCAGCAGCTGCTGTACCAAGCTGGGCGAGGCCCCTGGGTACCAGTGGTACGAAGTTCTGTTACAGAGGAGCCACTCCTCTGAAATGGGAGCCATCCCCTCTGGGTCTCCTTCTCTCCCCCAGCCTGTGTGTGCAGAGCTCCCTGACTTCAGGTGGAAGGTGCTTTTCAAACAGACACTCGGTCCCGGTGCTGAGTCTGTCTCCCAGAATTGTTGCTAATGGGCGTCACTCTGAACCAGGGCACAGAGAGTCCCGCTCAGTCTGCGGATCCAGCTGGCTGTCAGCACCCTCCGCCACACCTTCCTCTCAAAGCCCCCGGAGCACCAAGATCCGCATTCATCGCCCTCTTCCGAACCCTCTACTTCCTTCTGCCTACGAGCCCTCACATCGCCACCCAGGACCAGCTTCCTTTTGCTAGTACACCTCGCATCCCCACACGTGGATTTGGGGCGAGGGGTAGTCACCAGGAAAACTAGGACAATCTGCTGCATTTATTCGGAGAGTAAACATCTACCCATTTAATGTTTCAGGGCCACACACATGCTGAGGAACTGACACAACGACAAGGAGAAAGTGATGCGAGAAGAAACCAAGAAGGAACACAGAGGACCCGCGAACAGGCTGGATGGAAGAGAGAAGTAAAGCTTACACCACAACAGCCCACAAGACCAGTGCTTACTTCCAACCTCCCCCACCTGATACCTCTCGTTGCTGCTGTTACACGTATCCTCGCCCTCCAGGTCTGAGCCACTCAACTTCCTCTGGAGCCTGGGGCTGCTGGGGGAGCCTCCGCCTGCCTAGCTTGCGTCTAGGTGACCCTCCCAGTGCACCCTGGGAAGCTGCAGAGAAGCTCTCCCTCCCTCCCTTCCCTCCTCTATTTCTCCGAGGGAGGCCGGAGCTCCAAGTAATTGAGAGGGTATTGACCTGGGACCCTCAGAGGAGCTTCAGGGGCTCAGGGAACCTCTTAACATTGTGTATGTTGTGTGTGCACGCGCACCAGCCATTTTCTGGGGGCGAGGTTCACCATTTTTTCCATTCGATTTTCAAGGGACCCCCCAAAAGGATAAGGAACCACCGACTGGTCCTCAGCTTGTCCTGTGCAGGTTGCAGGGGTGTGAGCAGGGCAAGTGGGAGGGATGGAGACGCTCATGCGGCGTGGAGGTCAGGGCCCAGCACGGTACCTTGGAGGCAGCCATCACCGCCGCTGTGGCCGCCACGTTCAAGCCTCGCTTCCCGAAGTGCACAAGGGCGTCGTAACTCCGGTCTTTTGCTTGGACAAGGCAATCATCGATTTCCTGTCAAAGGAAAACAGAGACACACTGAGCGGGAGGGTTCAGAGGATCTCTGTTCTTTCTCCCTCTCCTGGGGCCTGGGCTTGGCACCTTGCCCAGTCACGATTCCCCCCGGGGCTGAAGTCACGGGCACCTTGGGTGTGTGTGTGAGTAAATGTGAGGGGGGAGGGAGAGAGGCAGAGGAGGTGCAGGGGAATGGAAAAGGGGATTTTGAAACACAGCCACTCACTGACTGACCCTGCTACACACAGCCACTCTCTGAGCCTCGGAAGGACCCTGGGGGGCAGAGAATAAAGTGTCTAACCCCCGACCCACCACTAGTTGGCTGTCAGACCCTGGCACACAGTTCTGTCTTCTGAAAAGCGGGGCAGCGATAGCACCTCCTCGGGGAGCACAGTAAGGGTGGCATGAGGTCACCCCGTGAAGCGTCTGACACAGGGCGGACACCCGTGAGGACACGGAGACCTCCTTCCCTCTGGGCACTGGGCCCTTGCGGCTCTGAAATCCTATGACTGTATGGCTATTTCACACTGTACCCTATCCTAACAGCTCCCCATGTGTTTATCGTCGGGAGGGATTAGGACATAGAAAGAGATGGGTGTTATTTCTGTTGATAAGGCAGATCATTTTGCAGGTAATGAAATAAAGGCAGAAATCAGAAGTCACCTCAGCATCATGCCCCAAGGTAAAGGTGAGGTGGGATAGAGGACGAGGTTGCCTTCGTGACTAAAACAGAGTAAAATCCTGGTTTCATTCCCATTGGAATCAACTCTGGCTTATTCCTTCCAGTTGTGTGTGTGTGTGTGTATGGAGTGGTTCTGTTTCATACAATGGCTGCTGTGTCATCACTGGCTCATTTCAGGGTCCGGTGAGACAGGGACAGTGGCCTCGGTCTCCTTTGCGGGTCAGCACATTTCGTGCATGTCCTTTGCTTGGAGGTGCAGGAGGCAGTCAACCCCTGCTCCTTCCTTGTTTGGCTTCCCCAGGAAGTCACCACAGTCAGCGTCCCTGTGACCCTGACTGCCTGGAAGTGACTCTGGGCAGTTCTTAGGAGTCAGCTGCCTTCACCTCAATGAAATCACAGTGGCAGCTGCAGGGTGAGACAGCCTTCAGGGAAAGGAAGGTAGAAGAGGGATTGGATAACCAGGTCAGGAGTGGGCTCGCCACTCCTCAAAATCCACCCGGTGAGGCAAGAAGTGCCATGTCATCGCTTCTAGAGGGATTCTCAGAGATGTCTATGTAGCCTGCTCACCCCACTGACATGTTCCCCAAAGCCTTCCCTAGAAGCCCAAAGAATTCCACTTTCATAATAATGCAGATGAACATAGAAAGCCACCAAAATGCTCCTGTTTCATGTCAAAGAAGCCTATCACATGATCAGTTTAGAAAGTCACATAATATAATTATGAATTATACAATTTGTAACCAATAATGTCACTCTAGGGAATTTATTCTAAGTAAAAAAAATAAGTCAAAAGAAGAAACTAAACTCCACGCATGGTGGTGTTCACTTGGTCATTACGAAGACCAAGTAAAAATGAATTATGGTACATGCAAAAACATGTTACGATCTCAGAATACAAATACTGTACCTATGTTAAGTTATGTTATTATTTGGTTTTTGAGTTTTTTTGGTGCACTTAAAATTTTATTTTAAAGAAAGGTTAGGAAGACTGGTATGCATAAAAAAAGTTATCAAACAGGTTAGTAAGACAAATTAATGTTTATTTTAATGGACTTTGCATTCATTATGGTTGAAATATTAAAAAAACAACAGAACAATCCACTGAAAGCAAATTTGACAAATTAGGTTCAGTGGAGATGTTAAACAAAAAATAATTGCATAAATAGTGACATTATCTTATAAATACCTAGAATTAAGTTACTTTTCAAAAGATGTAAGCTGTAATTCTTTAATTTTTTGTTATTATTGTTAATCCTCACCTGAGGATATTTTTCCATTGATATTTTTAGAGAGAGTGGAAAGGAGGGGGAGAGACACAGAGAGCGAAACATCAGAGTGAGAGAGACACATTGATTGGTTGCCTTCTGCACACATCCTGACCAGGGCCAGGGATCAAACTTATTTTTCCCCATCTCTGACATTAGAAAAATTTTAAATTTTTATTTTAAGGATGTTTGTAAAGTACTTTGAAGCAAAACAAACACAACAGGTAAAGATCATGAAACAAATTATGATTACTGTTCTCATGAATTCTTACCAACTGGTAATTACCAAAATAACAGGTATTTCATTGATAGCATGCATTTCATCATTGAACAATAAAGCAAACAGAAATTTTTATATTCCAGTCTCTATTAGAAGCTACCTGGGTAGCTACCTGGGTACAAGTCAAAGTCTTTTAACCTCTCAATGCTTCTGTTTTCCTGCCTATGTTAAGTTTTAAAAGTAATTTTAATAGTCTATGTGAAAATCATGTCTGTCCCTAGCCGGTTTGGCTTAGTGGATAGAGCGTCAGCCCAGGGACCCAAAGGTCCCAGGTTTGAGTCTGGTCAAGGGCACGTACCTCGGTTGTAGGCTCCTCACCGGTGCAGGCCTCCAGGCTCATGCAGGAGGCAATCGATCAATATGTTTTTCTCATATTGATATTTCTGTCTTTCCCTCTCTCTCCCACTCTAAGTCAATGGAAAAATATCCTCGGGTGAGGATTAAAAAACAAACAAAAAAACAAAAATCATGTCTGCAAAAGGCAAAGCATGATAAAAGGAAGGAAATTCTGTTTGGGGAGTGGAATTATGAGTGAATCTTTTCTGTCTTTTGTTTCAACTTATGAAAATGTTTTACAATAAATAATGACAAACAATATCTTTCTGAGAATTTCACAACTATTTCTAAATATGTCAGAAAAATAGACTTAAAAAAAAAAAAGACCAGACGGAACAATTTGTTAGGGATAAATAAGAGCCAATCAAGGGTCTTCTGCAATAAAATAATCTGCCCTTTTTATTTATCACTTTTCAGAGTTTTCACTCGCTGGAAGGAGTGAAAGGCAGAGCAGCATGCATTACCTTTTCCTTTGAAGACAGCGTGGGATGGACAAACTTCCTGTACAGGAGGCTGGAGCCTTTTGTGTAGGGAGAGAGCAGCCAGGCTACAAAGGCTATTTTTAGTTCGTAATAGAATGGAAACCTGGAGAGAGATGAGAAATACACATTCCATTAGGTTCTTGGCAATGCTGCCCTGGGCCTGGGAAGGGCCGGACCCGGCACAGACACCTGTCCTGCCTGCACGGGGCTGCAAGGCCCAGCTCCGCCTTTCCCCACCCAGGAAGGTGTGCACACACATGCACACCCAGCTCGAGCCCGCAGCCTCTTCTGACAGCTGGTTTGTGTTTTCTTTTGTTGCCAAAGCAAGCCAGGACCCAGGTTCTCTCAGCAAACCCCATGCCATGCCTGGCAACAGCTGGCACCCCTGCCCGGCTGTGCTCATTTCTGTTGGAGCCGGCGATCCAGCCCCAGCCTGCAGGCTCAGGCCACCTGGGTGCCATTCACCCAGACACTGTCACTGGCGGCCAAGAAGGCACACGCACCTGCAGGATGTCCAGCAGAGCAGGGCAGACAAAGAATCTTTTATGAGAATAAAAGCCTCCCCTCAGCCCCAAAAGAGGGAGGGACAGGCGCCTAAGTTTTGTCAGGAAAGAGGGTGCTACCCAGCCTACTCCAGTCAAGGGCAGGCAAACAGAGCTTATCTTTTTGGTACCCAAAGAAAGGGCACAGGTAACATACAATTCTGGAGTCTGAATCCTGCACACCATTCACTTATTCACCCCATAAGCAGACAGGATTTCCATTCAGCAAGACTGAAATGCCGATATTCCTGGGAAAGAGTTCATAAGACAAACACTATCCCCCCTGATGTTTCCGAGAAGGAGCAGGAAGACAGCAGGAGGCCAGCCAGCGCCAGAAGAGAACATCGTTAGGAGGGAAAAGTCCCAATTCTTGGAGTACTCACCAACAAAGGAAGATGTCGGTGAATGTCTCTGCTGTGGTGAAAAGTGCAAATATAATCCAGTACATCATCCATTTGACCTGTTGAACGAAAAAGTAACAAAGCTAGTAGAGAAGGTCAAGGGTGAAAGGCTGCCCAACATCGAGAAGAAAAGGCCCAGATGCTGGGGCACGTCCAGGCAGTGCTGCTGCTTGTCTATCCCACTCCCCCCCATCCTTCCCAAGCTCATGTCTGGCTCCACTCCAAACCTTGGGGCTGGAGGCAAACAGGCTGTTTCCACGATTGACCCAGGCTCAAGGTCAAGGTGGACCCTAGGTGACCGTCACTAGCCCTCAGGTGAGCCACGGAGGCCTGTGGACCAGGAGTGGCTCAGGATTCACTCAGGTAATTTTTCCAAGTAAACTTTCCAGGCCTTCACAGAGACACACCCGGGAATGAGCTGTAGCAAGGCCAGTCTCTCTGGGACGGAGTGGTGATAATCCTCACTGGCCACCTAAGACCCTCTCCTGTGAGAAACCCCTCATCCCCAGCCTCTTGCAGAAACTAGATCTTTTTTAAAAATCTCTCCCACATGAGCATCCATTCCATTTCCACTGCCTCTCACCCTGAGTTGAGGTCGTGGTCCCCTCTCTCCCATTTCCCTTGTCTCTAGGCTTTCCCCTCCCCAACCCATCCTACAAACCAGCGGTCACCAGCCTTTCGGACCTCACGGACCACCAATGGTCCACGGACCACCGGTTGGCGACCGCTGCTACAAACCATCCCCATCCCAATCTTCCAAAAGCATGAACTCATCAGACTGCCACCATCTTGTGCTTGGTGTCTCTACCTCCGCCTCCTTCCCAATCTGTCCTCCATATTCCAGTCAGAATGGTCTTGTTAAATCCAAACTTGATGATTCTCCTTCCAAGCTTTTAAAGTCTTCAATGGTCCCTTACTGTTAAGATAAATCCCAAATTCCTTAAAATGTTATACACGTCCTTGCATGAACCGGACCCTCATTACCTCCGTAGAAAGCCCTCCGTCTCACCCACACTTGCTTGAATTTTCCACTCGTTATAATGAACCTGAACAGGGCATCTTCCTTTGCCTCCGTATTTCAGCCCTCAGATCTCAGCCTTTGGGCCATTTCCTCTAGGAAGTGTCCAACGTTGGGGTAAGTGCACTTTCCTTTTTCTCTCCCGCAGTGTCATACATGCTCCCGTCCTAACACTGAACGTTCTGCTTTGAAAGCACCGGCTTATTGCTATGCTTTTCTTACTAGATTGTAAGTTCCCTGAGAGTGGAGGCCAGTTATTTTTGCACCACTGTAGCTCTAGTACCCCGAACAGCTCCTGGCAGACAGTATGTGCTCAGTGAGTATGTCTTGAATGACTGGATTAGAATGTTGGCATTGTCAATGGGAAAGAAAGGATGGTTTTAAAAAGACTGAGAATAATATGCTTTGGGAAATACTGGCCTACGTGGCTTTTTGGGAAGAAAATAGAGAATTAGGATGGTTTCAAGGAAAATAGAGAATTAGGATGGTTTCAAGCCACGAGTACTGGCTGAATAGATGATGGGTACACATGGGAGGAAAGGGGCCTGTTGAAGTCGGGGCATGGTGTGACATGGAGCCACTCACACCAGCAAGGAAGTAAATAAAGGGTCAATTTAGGGAGAAGAGGCTGAGCTCCAAGAACCCGAGGGCAGTCTGAGGGCCCAGGAGACATCCAAGAAGCATGCCCAACAGGCCTCTGGAAAGGCAAGACCGAACTAATCTCAGGAGGGAGAGTGGGGCCATGGCCAAAGATGAAGGAGGCATGGGGGTGAGGGGGCTTGAGTGTTAGCCTGAAGAAGTTTCCATCATGAACCCCTTCTCTTTAAAATGCTTTCCTGCAGAAAGGACGGTGTGAGAATGATTCGCTGAGCCTCAAAAGGTAAATGGAATACTGGTGGCTCAGAGATGGAAACCATAAATAAACTACCAGGAAATGTTTTCCCCCATCAAACCACAGAGTAACCAAATGATGGCTATTCTTCCCAAGGTATGAAAGAGAAGTTGCCAGGTTTGAGGGATTCTATCCAAAATTTCCTGCAAGACATGGAGAGCATGGGCAGGACAGCGTCCAGAAGAGAGAGAGGGAGCTATGGCCAATTTGAGACCAGGAGCAACTCTGGAATGAAGAGTTGACAGCAGGGCTAGGGAGTCCCTCTGGACTGATCGGGGCAGGACCCAGCAGTGAGGACATAGGAGAAGCTGTGATCCTAGGTCATAGCAGGAGGGTGGGAAGCAGAGCCTAGAGACCTTCCATGAGCCACAGAGATGGGCTGAGACACCAGGACCCATCAGGAAGCCTCCAGGGCGCCTGGCTGCCTGCAAGAGCCCGCCGCATGGGCTGTGCAGGCAGCAGGCTTAGCCACCTCTGTAGCCTCACCTCACCCTTGGATCCTCCCCTATATCAGTCACCCTATTTCCTGAGTACTTCACACTCCCTCTTGCATCTGGACCCCGCTCCGGCCTCCCAGGGCACTCCCTATGCCTAATGACCGAGAAAGCAACGATTAGAGCCTGGTTTACAGCTGCCTCGGCACCATCTGCTGGCAGGAGCTCACAGTGGACAGCTGCATAGCCCGGTGGCCCTGAGAGAATGAGGAAGTGAAATTCCCTCACAGGCAGAACTCTGAGCAGTGCACTGGGCCTGGAAGGAGCAATGTCCTGAGGTAATGCACCTACACTGCCACCAGGTGTATGAACTATTTTCTTATTTTCTGCACTCTTTGATGCTTGGCATCTGAGGCCTTGCTGATTACGGAGACACTTCCCTCCCCAGGACCAGACAATTCTTGAAAAGAGAAAAAGACGTGCCCCCGGGTGGACTTTTCATATGCAAACTGACCAATCCAGAGCCCATAGGAGCGCTCACAGGTGGGCCAATATTCCCCAGCCCTAATAACCCCAGGCCAGGTACCAAGGCAACTAGGGCAGCCCCCACACCCCACACCTGCTGAAATTACTCCAGCTAGCCAACCCTAAACCTGACTACCCTGCCCTACCTGACTTCCCCGCAGAAACCAGCAGAGGTTGTGGCCCACCTGCTCTGGCCCTGGAGGTGTCCTGGGCCTCCCACCTTTAAGGAGCTGTGAGTAAAAACGTCTTTCTTCATGACAGTCATTTCTGTGTCTGCATGCCTCACCATCCCCGATTAAAGCAAATCCCAAGTACACTTTAAAATACAAGGTAAGGCTCTGGCAATACCATGAGGTACATGGAAGGATGGCTGAGACTGGTACTGGGCCGTGATCACATTTTGGAACTATGTGGATGGACCCCCAGATTGCAGACATCTGTGAAAAGCCCGTGCCTGACCAGCACCATCGGAATCATGGAGGAGCTGGTTAGAAATACAGAATCTCAGGCTCCACCTGAGACCCTACGGATCAGAATCTGTATTTAATGAAATCCTCTGCTCATTGTACTCATGTTAAAGTTTGAGATTCACTGGTCTTGTTACAGCGTAGCAAAAAGCTAGGGACATTCCAGGGCAGGAGGAATAGGGAAACTGAGGCAAGAAAATTAAACAAGGCCAAGCAGTTTGGACAGCTTGCAGCTGGTTTGTAAACAACAAGCCATTATCTTCCCAAAACCAAAGACACTTGAGAGCAAATGGTTAAAAGTCTCTCTAAGTAGAGAAAGCAGGAAAGGAGAGGGGAAGTGGGGAGGAAAAAAGAGTTTATTTCACTCCCTAAACAAACAAGCCATCAGTTTTGGGGCTTGGCAAGATAAAACTGCCAGGTGCTTCCCACAAATTCTGGGAAAGCCACAACAAAGTGAAAGGGGGACCTTGAAAACTCATCTGTACCCAAGATACTCGGCAGAGAGATTTATAATTTATAGACAGAAACATATATAAGGCAGAAACCTCCACCCCACTCGCTCCTCAGATTAGCCGAGAGAGCCCATCCACACTTTTTTGCTGGATGATTGCTTGCCTTGTTCCTTTAATAAATTTGCATGTTTTACTTTCTTAATAAATTCACTTGAACACAACACAATGACCTGGAGTCACTTGTTTGGATTCATTCATATGAGCAGATAAGAACTGAGATGGGACAGCCTCCCCCTCTGACTCAGGGCTGTCGGATAACTTACACCTCTGGTGTCTGTGAGAGGTGCCGTAACAGTCTGACTCACAGCCTTTCTGCTTCTCAACCCTACACTTCTGAGTTCTACTTTTTAATAATTTTAGTGCCTGGAGGATAGGTGCTTCTAGCAGGGATACAATTGGTTCCAATGAAATAGAAGCAGAGACTAGACCTGACCACTTCAGGACCACCATGCCACTCGGAAGTGGATAATAAAGGGACTTAGGGGCTTCGACGGGGTGACTGATCCTGATGGTCCGGGGAACCAGGGTTGCTGCTACACAATGTGCAGGGGAGGAAGTTAACGGTCCTGGGGGATCTCCGACTACAGTCTCACTCAGAGGTAAAAGTCAATGACTCACAGAGGCAGGATTACTAAAGCCTCATGTTCCTCAGGAATGAAGATTCAGGCCACACCCTGGATAAGGAAGCTCTAATTCAGTGGTTCTCAACCTTCTGGCCCTTTACAGTTCCACATGTTGTGACCCAACCATAAAATTATTTTCTTTGCTACTTCATAACTGTAATGTTGCTCCTGTTATGAATCGTAATGTAAATATCTGATATGCAGGATGGTCTTAGGCGACCCATGAAAGGGTCGTTCCACCGCCAAAGGGGTCGCGACCCACAGGTTGAGAACCGCTGCTTACTGAACCAAAGCTCTGACCGGAGGCAAAGGGAGCATGCATTAGATGGTGGAAGAAGGAAGCAAAGGAAAAAATGCTGGATGTACGATGGAACTGCCCAGAGCAGTGGTCGGCAAACTGCGGCTCTCGAGCCACATGCGGCTCTCTGGCCCCTTGAGTGTGGCCACGAAGTTTCAATCGCACTGTACGTGCACGCCCGCACGTGGTATTTTGTGGAAGAGCCACACTCAAGGGGCCGCAGTTTGCCGACCACTGGCCCAGAGCACCTTCTGAATTACCCTGGTCCCACAGGTGGCATGTTTTTCAATGTCTTATGAGCTAGTTTACAACTTTGATTTCCACATTTGCCCAAGAAATCAGTTGAATATTTTTAAATAATTCATTTCATCACTCCTGATTGGTTATGTGTCTGCTCTTTGGAATCTCCTTTGATGTGTTTTTAGCAGCTTACTGGTTCCCTCATTAATTAATGAGTTACGTAAAATTTTTACGCGTGTTAATTTTATATTTGTACAAGAGTCGTGATTTTACCCTTTAAAGATTATCTTTTAACAAAAGACATAAACACAAGTTATGAACTTATGACCGCTTGCATGACTAAGGACTGTAGCTTCTACCAATATTTTCTTCATTTTTTTGTTATGTATAGATTTAAATATTTTAACTAATTTTATTTATTCTCCGTCTCCCCCTAATAGAGTATATGGGTGGTTCACTCGATCATTTAATTTTTTAGAGTGCTGAATATTAAGATTAGGTCCTGTCAAAGCCAGAGGAAGCGAGGTACTGGACCTGCAGCTGGACTCAGCTGAAGAAATTTGGATCTAACAAGTAAATGAGTTGCACAGAATTCTTATTGGAAGGTTTTTTAAAAGCCAAAACCTGGGTAAAGGAGTGGATGTCAATGTTGGGCAACCAAACAAGTAACTGTAATGGAAATATATATATTGTATATGACTGTATAATACAGTCATATTATATACTGTATTTTAATTTCATTAAACATCATAAATTTTATTGAATATAATTATATGTAATATGTAAAAAATACATGTTTATTACCAGTATCCAAAGCCTTCTAATTTTGAGATTGTCTTTTTGGGCAGCAAGGCCTATTATCTAGGCTTGGAAAAAATCAAATGCCCCTAGCCAGGGTTTTGAATCTTCACAGACTGTTCCAAAGGCACAGGCAGCCAGAAGCCAGTGTCCACGGTGACGATACTGGCAGCAGCTTCCTAACCAGACCTTTCCTGTGGCATAAGTTGACCTGTCACCAGGTTTCTGGGATCCTCCCCAATTTGAGTATCTTCCCCCCAGCCTTCTAGTTTGTCCTAGGAATTCCCAAATTCCCATAAGTTTCTTTCTGTTTAAGTGCAGTGCGTTTGGAAAGACATAAGAAGCTATGAATGTTGACAGCAGTGTTTCTCAAATGGAGGATCCAGTAAAAGGTCTGATTTTCATTCCGGAAGTCTGGGCAGGACGCGAGAGTCTTTGTTTCTAACAAGCTCGCAGGTGATGTTGCTCATTCTGGTCCACAGGCCACACTGAGCATGGGACGGAGAGCACTCAGTGCTTGTAGAGAAGAGGCTGGAGAGTAGGGAGGAGCAAGACAGAGGGTGTCCAAGCCTGTATAATGGGTCCGCTCTCGATGTTGCAGGCGAGGATCCCGGGGGATTGAAATGAGTATTCCCACTGTTCAAAGGCTTCTAGAAGTTATATAGAGTCTATATTATAGACAGCAGAGTGTGAGACGAGGGACAGGAGGCAGGAGAACCAATTAGGGAGTGTGGTAGGCAAAACACTAGCCCCTGCCCGCCCCCAAATGATGTCCTCATCCTCGTCTCCAGAACCCATGAGTATGTCTACGGCAATTGGGCCTTTGCAGAGTCGTTAAGCTAAGAACTTTCAGATGGGAGACCGTCCTGGACTATCAGGTGGCCCACTGTGTCCCATGAGTACTTCAAGGCGGAGACCCTGACCCGGCGGTGGCCACAGGGAGATGTGACTATGGAAGGATGTTCAGGGATGAAACACAGTGGACCTGAAAGAGGAATGCCCAGGAATGCAGGTGACCCACCTCCAGGAACTGAAAAAGGCAAGGAAGTGCATTCTCCCCTAGAGCCTTGCCTGTGTTAAGCCCCTAAATTCATGGTCATGTGTTACAGGAGCAATAAAAACTAGCAGAGGAGGCTACTGCAACATTCCAGGGAGGAAATGATGACAACCTTGCTTAAGAGAGTGGCTGCAGAAACGGAGAGACCTGGTCTGACAGATTATTAGGGGACTAGGGACGTCATCACCAATCAGGTGTGTGCACGGCTGGGTGGTGAGGGAGAGGCAGGTACAAGGAAATTCCCAGGTTTCTCTCCTGGACAAATGGATCCATGGTCAAAAGGAGAAGAGAAGCGAGTGTACACGTGTGAGCGTGCCAGTCTCCCTAACACTATTCAGCTCCTTTCTTCCAGTTCCATTTTTGCCAAGAAACCGTCTCATCTTTATTCTCAAGCTTTCCTTTCGGGAAAAACACGTGTTCACCAGCCAACCCACACAGCTGCTCTGCTTGTCAGTTATATGTTTCACTCTAAATTTATGAATTGCCCTTCTAGTGACAAACCAGGCTCCTGTGAGATTGGTCAGAGCAAAACAGTTTACCAGGCTTTGATCTCTCCCAGAAGAGCGGACAGAGCTGAGTTTCTGCCCCTGCAAAGCAGATCAGGCCTTGAACCACGGTGACCCCAGCTTTGCCTCCTCACCTGGCACAGCTGCCCAGCGCCTGGGCTGGAAGGGAGACCTGGAAGAGGCTGCCTCGTGCTTCCCCCCTGTGCCAGGTCAACGGAGACTCATGAGCTTCTGTGCTTATAACTTAACAGCTATTTACAGCTCACGCTCAGAGGTTCCCCGTCTCTGGGGAGAACCCACCCCCGTCTGGACCCCCGGCCTAGTAGCAAAGGCAAGCCTGGGCCAGCAGTTCTAGGAAACCGAGAGGGGAGGGTGGTCAATGCTGGTTGCAGTTGGCTGGGAGGTGGCTGGTTTCATCATAAGGATGTCCTGGGGCAGTGGCCGGCAAACTGCGGCTCACGAGCCACATGCGGCTCTTTGGCCTCTTGAGTGTGGCTCTTCCACAAAATACCACGTGTGGGCGCGCACGTACAGTGCGATTGAAAGTTCGTGGCCCATGTACAGAAGTCGGTTTTCGGAAAGGAGATAGATGAAACAAGTATACAAGACGAGTGTGGATGGGAGAGTTAGAAGGGGTCGACCTCAGCGAACGTACCTCAATCAGATTGAGGACGTTTTTAGCAAAGGCCAGCTTGGGAGTACCCTAATTAAGTTAATAACAATGTACCTACCTATATAGTTTAAGTTTAAAAAATTTGGCTCTCAAAAGAAATTTCAATCGTTGTACTGTTGATATTTGGCTCTGCTGACTAATGAGTTTGCCAACCACTGTCCTGGGGTATCCGAGAATGGAAATGATGTTTCCAACCCTCTCTGAGTTTCCAACCCTCTTTACCTGACAAAGTTGCCAAGTGACACCTCTGAATCACAGAGGGAGAGCGAAGACCCTCTGTCCCTCATGACACTGGGGTCAGAGCTGTTGCTCTTCACCCCGCAGTTCAGCTGAAGAAAAGGAGGCTCTTGGAAGCCAGCTTCTCGCCACGCATTGCATCAAGCAAATGCCAGAGCCAGGACTTGACTTCAGGTTCTTGCTGACAAAATCCACATCCTTTGTACTTGGACCTGGGTCTCTCTCCTTCCCTCAACCCGCCCCCTGCAGGTCTCTGTCAGTCAGGGGTGGTCTGATGGTTCTGTCTAGAGGTGCCCAGCACATCTAGGGCCGTGACCACGGCTCCCAAATCCACTCAACAGCAATACATCCTCCAAACCATGGAGCCCCTTCCCACGTGCTCTGCCCTCTGCTAGGTGCTGTGGGGTAATAGCTGTAGAATAATGAACAACTCCCGCCCTCTAAAAGCTTATAAAGCAACAGGGCTTACCTCCTGGGGCATCTGAATCACAGAACTGGGGTGGGATAGAGCCTGAGTCGCAGACCCAGGAGCTGAACCCGGTCTGCTGGGCCCAGGATCCCTGCTCCTGCCCCTGGTGCTAGACTGTCTCCCAATAACAGTGCTTTCTGGTCTACACAGTGTTTTCCAGACAAAGAAACAGGCTCAGCGAGGTGAAGCCACTCAGCCCAGGCCACACAGTGGCATGTGGTAGACTGGGGACCTCGGTTCCTCTCGCTGTATCCCCCTGCGTTCCCCCCTTCTGCACTCTAGTTCTAAAGAGGAAGTGTCGACGGGGAGGGGATTCCTGGGCCACACCACGTAGGTCTCATGAGGAGAGCGATGAAGGGACTCCTCAGCCGGCTGCCAGCGCCCACAGCAGAGAGCGCCCACCTCCTCCCGCCCATTCACACCCAGTTCACTCCCCAAAGTGCTACTCACATATTCTTTAATGTCCTTTGATTTCACAGCCTTGTAGGAGTAATATGCAGGGTAAAGGGTGCCAAATATAAGCCTGGAGGGAAGAGAGAGAAAGAGAAATGTGATTTTCATTCATGATGGGAAATGTCTGTCTTCAATGGCAGGAACCGTTCTCTCAGCTACGGAAAGTGCTGCCGTGGGCTTGACTTATGGTTTCCGAATGCCCTGAGTCCGCTCCTGGCTGGGATGTGCTTCGGGACCTCCTGTCACAACCTACAAGGGTGATTTGGGGTCATGGAAGCCAAAAATGGGGTGGGGTGGGAAGCCAACCTGCACATAAGACACTGAAATTAAAGGTCAGACCTTCCTCTCCTGCTGCTAATCCCCAGATGCTCTATGAGCCTGCGGCAGGCGGCAGGCACTGTGGGCTTCCTTCACCACGGAAACCCGGCTCACTAAAAGTTCCTTCTAATTTCACGCCTCTCCTGCTTGATTTCAGCATCCTGCGGCCGGAAATCAGCTTTCCAATTGCAAATCCACGCAGGCCAAGCCACACGCATCCCCACCCGCATTAACCTGCTTCTCGCTGCTCTTAAGACGAAGAAGCAAAATTAACACCAGCGTGACTGTTGGGCAGCAGCTCTCTGCCCGCGGGCAGGGCTGCACTGGGTCATTAAGGAATCTGACTCTCAGCCCTGCCTCTAAGGGCTGCCTGGCAGAGCCCCACCTGACCTCATTCTCTCCACCTCGTACCGCCCCCCCCCCCCCCCCCCCAACGGCCTTTGCCTGGGCTATCGTCTCCTTCTGGAATCTTCCCCCACTTCTGTGTCTGGTTCACATGCCTGTTCACCAGACCCCAGCTCCATCATGACTTGGTCACAGAAGCCTTCCCTCACCTCCAGCTGGGTCAGTCCCCCCTCTCCTCCTCCCCGCGCCCCCCCCCCCGCCCTCAGTCAATGTGCATATTATCAGGGTGCTCTTCCACTAGTGTTTGGGGGATACTTTGATTGACAGGATCTCCCCATTGGACTGTAAATGTCTTCAGGGCACAGAATGGGTCTGTTTTATTTCAACAACGTGTTTCTAGCACCTGCCACATAGTAGGCTCGCAATGGATGTTTTTAAATGTATGACTTGACAGGACGTTGAAGCTGGAAGAGTTTATTCCTTTCACCTGACAGATAAGGTCACCCAGGTGTCCATTCAGATGCAAACGGAGTGGGCACCAGAGGTGCATGGCTCCCCACCCCCCAGGAGCCAACATCTCCTGTGAACACCCACCCACAGAGCTTCCGGGGTCCCTGCAAGGAGGCTCCACATTTGGGAACCCCAAAGCCCTGGCTCCCTCATCAGTATTTAGAGGTCGCACAGGAAACTCGGAGTCCAGATGCCATTGACCACGCAGTGGGCACCATTCACACAGTGCTGCGGCCAGGCAACACCCTGACATTCTGCCTCCGGTTGCCAGGGAAAACCAGTTAACTGAGCAGAGTCCGTTTCTAAGATGCTGGCAGGGAAAGCGTTTTTGCACCCTTGCCTCACACAGACCTGGCCCTACGTGCTACACAGGCATCGCCTCAGTCCTCAAGCCACCTCGGCTAGAGGAACCTCTTTCTCGGACGGGACACCGGCGCACAGAGCGGTCAGCCGCTTGCGTGCCTAAGGTCCCATGACCGTTGCGGAGTAAAGCCTCTGAAGACTGGCTGATGTCGGCTGGCGCCCTGGCCAGGGCGGCCTCCTCCCAGCCTGGCCTTTTACTAACACTGTCCTCCGGCTTCATCCTCTGTGAGGGCAGGGTTATGTCTGGGAGAAAGATAAGCCCGCAGAGGGGACGAGTGTCTGAGGGGAGGAGAAAATGTAGGCCTCAGGTGGGAGGGGAGAAATTTAAGGAAGAGAGAAAGGCACCAGGCGTGCTGAGGGGGCACAGCCTGGGGAAGCCCACCGGGTCCAGGAATGAGCCCGCCTGGTGAGGAGGTCTCCCCAGCGTCCACCCTGCCCTCCTCCCGAGCATTCTCAGATACCAGAGCCTGCTTCCCTCCCTGAGGCCTTCCTGACCTCCTGACCTTCTCACCCCCTGAAGATCAGGTTCTTCTCTGCCCCCTACACGCAGCCACATCCCTCTTTCTTAGCCCTTACGCATACACTTGCGGTGGTTTATTCACCTTAGATGCCCCACAAAGCCAAGGCCGGTCTCTGTCTCATTCATAACCGCGCCGTGGGCCTGGCCAGTGCTCGGCGAGTACCCGGTGTTCTCTGTCTGGTGCAGTAAAGGGCAGAGCCATCCAGGGCACATTCATGATGCTGGGACTGAGCTCTCGACAGCAAGGGGATGCCAGATGGCAATGGCTGATTCAGCAGAGCCTCAGGCAACGTGCCCCTGGCTCCCCTGGCACCGATGCCCTGGTTTAGCCAGGTCTGCCAGGAGGGTTTCCAGCCCCTGCCCTGAGGCAGCGTGCGGCTGGCGGAAGAGAGACAAGTGCAAACTCAACAGCCGCTATTTGCTCCTCTGTGAGCTCCCCACGAGCAGCGACACCTCTGGTCACGGAACTGGGACCCCTCAGTGGTGCGCGGACGGGAGGCCTGATGTGAAGTGGTGGCCGGTGTCCCCCTACCTGATAGCATGGGGACAGCAAGACAAATTTGCTTTTTCAGACCCTAAAATCTCCATAGCCCCGGCAGGTAGAGGAACACACTTAGCATCTCACTGCCCAGGGAAGGGAGGATGGGATTAGAATGCTGAGTACGTCTAAATCTATTCTGGAGACAAGAAGTAACAGATGAAGCAGGTCCAAGCCAAAAGGGGTTGGGATCTATGTCCACGCAGACCAGGTGCCCCTGCAAGTCCCCCGCCCCCCAACCCCCACCCCAGCCCTCCCTCGGCCTCCGGATCTCACCGGCAGCAGCTGTCCCCACAATGAGCCATGCTCATCACTCACAACTGTGACTTCCCGCCTGCTCTCGTCCTGCCTCAGTCTTAATGCAGGATCTTCCCGCAGCCTCACAACTGTTTTTCCTGATAAAGTCCACTAATCCCTTAAGATCCATCTCAACAAAGCCACTTCTGTGAGTCTTTGATCACTTGTCCCTCAGAATTTTCTTGATATTATTTAAGTCCATTACAGCCCTGATGCTGTCGTATTAATAAGACGTTTAAAATAATGATATCAATATCGCTGAGCACTACTAATGCCAGGCACTGCTCTATAGGTTGTATACATGCCTCACTTAACCCTCAACACCCATATGGGATAAGAATTCAACTCCATTTTATTTATTTATTTGTTGTTGTTTTAATCTTTATTGTTGAAAGTATTACATATGTCCTCTTTTTTTCCCCACTGATCCCCTCCAGCCCACCCAGGCCTTCAGCACCCTATTGTCTGTGTCCATGGGCCATGCATATATGCATACAAGGGCTTTGGTTCATCACCTCCCACCCACCCACCTCCCCGCCTTCCCTCCGAGATCCCACACTGTTCCCTGCTTCCATGGCTCTGGATCGCCCAGTTCACTAAGTCTACTCCGTTTCACAGACGAGGACATAAGGCCCCAGGAGACCACAGCCAGGAGCAGCGCTGGGATGTGGGCCTGGGCAGCCTGACAACAGGGCCTGTCCGTGCCCCCTGGGCTGACTGTGCTGGCTGACTCAGTGTCCCCGGCCAAACCACGCAGCCCTAGGTGGTTCGTGGGGCCTCTAGTGCCTGGCACAGCCCCTGCTGAAGTGGCCACTTGAAAAATGTCTGTTGAGTGAATAAAGAACAAAGAATTGAAATGTCTCTTGGGAACTTAACCCACTTCACAGATTCACAAAACTCTCTCTACAAGGTCAAGAGGGAAGCGGTAAAATACTTAGGAGGATCTCCAGCTACTTAAAGTGCTCACGTCAGCCCCCAGCAGAGGCGAGGAAGAAGGCGTGTGTGCCTCTAGAGAGGAGGCGAGGCTGGGCTCTGTGCCCACACACTCCTCCCAGTTACCTGTGACCGGGCCTCGAACCACCCTCCCTTCTCCACGGTCACTTGCTGTGACCTTGAAGCCTGCCACCCCTAACTTACTGGCTCCATTTATCTGCCTGTCATGTGTCTCCTATATTTGTGCCCTCCTTCCTCCAAGTTAGGGGCCTTCAGAATGTTTGCTTCAGAATGAAAACAATATGCGTTCTTCCCATCTGTGGGTGCCACGGGGCCACGATCACGGGGGGCCTATGGAAGAACTGTCCTCGTGGGGGTGTCCAGGAAACCAACACCAAAAGGGAACGCTTCACAGTTTGACCAAAAGAAGAGATAGCATCACATCCTAACTGGTGCCAGTGACTGCTCTGCGGGGTGCTGGGCACGGCTGTCGGTGCTCTACCTGCCTTTGCATGTACAAACCTCTATGACGTGGGCATGGTTATCATCTCCATTTCACAGATGCAAATAAAATCAGACGACGTAAATAACTGGGCTCGGGTCGCACAGCAAGTCCAAGGCGAGGCTGGACAGGATGTGAGATTTCACAGTGTGGGCGCTAAATCAGTGACGTTCCCACTTGTTTGATCGAACAAAATCAGGAACATATTTTAATCACCCGTTATTTGCATTACCACGAGTCCTTGGCTTTGCTGAGGAAATTTTTTTAAGTCATCATGAGAAGCAACTTATTTAAAATGAAATTGCCTAACACATAAGCCCACTTACCAAGGCTCATGCAAACTGTAACACGGCTTGGGTTCTGCTGAAAACAAACGAAAGAGTGAGGGACTCGGTCAATACCTGTGTGCTGTGGACTCCCCTTGTTCCCCAGAATCCCCCACACGCCTGTCTAACACTCCTCTGATCTTCCACACTCAGAACACGCTGTGGCTGTCCCTGTCCACAGAGCTGCTCAGCTCCTGTGAATGGGGGACGTGGCCTGGCTGTACAGCCACGTGAACCCTAAGCTGCACACAGGAGGAGGGACAGCCTCGGAGGCCTGGGAGCTGGGGGGCCGTGGTGCTGGTCTGTGCTGCACCACTCCACACACAAGAGTCCTTGGTAAGTGCCCAGGAACCTCACCCATTTCATTTCCTCTGCCACTGGGGTGTCCCCACAGGTGCTGGTGGGAAGGTTAAGTGC